ACGCCTGCGCCCAGTTCTGCGCGAGTAACTCCCGGGCGACGTCGTCTTCCCAGGTGCCTGCTGCGCCGTGAAGCCCCGCGTCGAAGCACCCGTCGCAGTTATAGGCGGCGTCCTCCTGCCGCCTGCTGAAACGCTCATCGCGCACCACGGGGGGGGGGGGCCGGGGATGTGCCTGGGGCCGGGGAGGCAGGGGTGTCTTCGTCGAGTCGGTGTTTGGAGATTGCCTTCGCGCCACCTATGCACTCGACGTCGCCCGTGGTCTGCGGGCATCCTAGCCCTACCTCTGAGCCCGCCAGGGCAGTGTCCAGCAGGAAGATGGAGCATTCTCCGACGTGCAGCTGTTTGACGTCCGCGGGCCGTACAATGGCCTCCAGCACGCGTAGGGGGGCCTCCAGGGTGAAATTGCGCGCCTGCATCCCAGCCCACGTTTTCGGACAGTCGAACTTGCCTGCAACCTCGTGGTGGTGGGCAAAAGGTGGCCAAGGTACTTGTATGGTTGATGACCTCGGCGAGCTTGGTATGGAGGGCTTCGAAGTCTGCCAGCCGGCACCCCCACGTCTCTGCATACTGTGTGCGGAACCCTTTTTGTGCGCTTCCTGCCAAGGGAGGCAAAGACCCATCATGGCCTCGAAGATGTCGCCAGTGGCCTCTGGGTTCGGGAAAGGCCAAAGTGTGGCACGGGGCTCGCGTAAGTTCAGCATCACCACTACCAGCAGCACTCTGAGCGCGTGGGGGTGGAGTGGCTGCCCGTCGACTCCGACCTGGGAGCCCGTGAGCTCAGTGTCAATCGCCTCGGGCTTGAGTAGGGCGTGCAGGTTCTCCATTCCTGGGTGCACCCTGTGCCGTCGGCAACGGCAGGTGGCACTGCTCCATGCTGTTGGAAACTGGAGGAGCGTGTCCCGGGGAGCGCAGCGGCTAGAAGTCTTGGGGCGTCGGTTGGTTCCAACCATGTGGGGTAGTGGTGGAACCGAGTCGCACGAGACGCCCAGCTGGTTGTAGTTCCATGGCGTGCCCAGTCCGAGGAACCAGACAATGGCTGCCAACGCGAGGTTGTGCACGAGGTTGCTGGCGTCGATCCCCACTTCGACGTCTTTGCAGTAGCCAAGGTGGCTCCAGGCCTTCCTATCTAGGCTGCCTGGTTGCCTGGGTGGGGCCCCCATTTGCCACTGGTGTGGGTGCAGCCCGGAAGCGACGTACAGCAGGATAGCCATGATAGGGTCGTCGACTAGCTTCTGAATGCTGCCTGTGAGGGCGGCACCAAGCTTCTTCCAGGAAAACTGAGCGTCGAGTGGCGCCGCGATGCGGTCCTCGAAGGAGCTCTCCAACCTGGCCCTGGCCTTCTTGAAGGCGTCATCCAGGCCTTTAACGCTGTCGTCCCATGTGTGCGTGGGAGCGGCGGGGATCCATGACTCAAGGTCCTTGATGGGGTCAAACTCCTGGTCGATGTGCAGGGCAATGCGGTTGCCCAACTCGTCCCCCTGGAAGCGGACCCAGAGCTTGGCCATCCTCCCGTACTCGGAGAGCTCCCGGAGATGCGCTCCCGTTTTTTTTTTTTTTTTTTTTTTTTTTTTTTTTTTTTTTTTTTATTTTTTTTTGTTTTTTTTTTTCGCGGCCCGCAAGGAAAAGTCCAGACGGCGGCATGACCGAGGCTGGGGCACAGCGACAGATAATTGGCGCGACACCGCGCAGAGTGCACCTGCAGATAAATTGGAAAGACGCGGCCACGGGTCAACCCGCAGGTGGGGGCGAACCGAAGCCCTGCCGAATGCACGCGGACCCAAAAGTCGCTGAGCGCAGCCGCGACTGAGCAGGTGGGGCCAGGCCGGACCCGCAGGTGGAGTACCGACCGGCAGCCAGAAAGGGGGGGAGGCAGGGAAGCGCGGGAAGAGAGAGAGAGCACAACCTAAGGGGAAACGTGGCGGATCCACTCACTTGTCACCTGGTGCGTGGGCGTCAGCGTAAACGCCCGCCACACACAAGCCACCGAGGGGGGTCAGGCCAGTGAGCATACTACACGAGCTGGCAAGAGGAAGGGCCTGCAGCCAGTGCCTCTGCATCACGGCACGCACTCCCAACAAAGCCTGGGTGGGGTTATTTCAGCCGACCGCAGGCGAGGGCGCCCACGGGGGCCGCGGGTACCATGGCGGTGTGGTGCCTCTGCTGGTGGGGGATACGCAAAGCGTCAAGAATTTGAAACAACGCAAACAATAGCATGACAAACTACCATGAGAAAACACACAACAATTGAAACCCCGTAAACAAATCCAGCACGCAGAAAGGGTGAGAGATCTTCCGCAAACCTTCGGGGGAGGAGGGGTTATTGTAGATCATTAAAGTCTGAAGAGCTAAACCAACCTTATTTTTCACGATTTTCCAACAACAATGTGTTCGCAATCGGCGCGAGACGAAATGGGCCCATTGCCTCGGTCTGCGGGAACAGCGCCGCCGTGCACACCCGCGAAGGCTGCCCGCCCCTGCGCCGCACGAAAGCACGCCTGCGCCCCGTGAGGACTGCTGCCACGGTCTGCAGCTGGCTGCAGGGCACAACTGGGGAGAGGAGAGGAGGAGAACGGGAATAGAGGAGCGCTGCCAAGGCGGGCGGGAGATCCCCCCCCCTCCTCCTCATCTTCCTCCTCCTCTTCCTCCTCCTCCATCCTCCTCCTCCTCCTCCTCCTCCTCCTCCTCCTCCTCCTCCTCCTCCTCCTCCTCCTCCTCCTCCTCCTCTTCCTCCCCCGCCTCGCAACGACGAAGAACAAAAATGGACAAGGCAAACGAGGCACTGCAGGCTTCCGTGAGGTATGCCGCACAGGACCAATGATAGAAATGCCGCCGTAAGTCGCGCTAAAGGAGAAACCACAGGCAGAGCAGAAGCTAGTCGAATTGCCTGCTCAGTATCGTCACTTGCGTTGTGGAGTCACCAGGCGTGTGACTCTTCCACCCGCAATGACCCTCCGCCAGGCCCTCCCAATTCGGGGGGGAACGGGGAAAGAGCTTAGCAGACGGAGGAGGGAACACGGGCTGGATCTGGACGGACATTTTCCCACATGGCTCGTCCTGGACCCCCTGGGCACCCCGCAACATGCATCTCTTGGCGGGCAGAATTTTTACCTCCGCCCGCTTCCGCCGGCGGAGGCGGCCTCGTTTTATTGCCGCCGGCCTTCTGCCGAGGAAAAGATGCCAACTTCTTGAGCTCTCGAAGGCGAGGCCCTTTCTGAATCGCCCCACATGGCGATGTCAGGATGACTCACGAGAGCCTGCGCAGGCCGACTGAGCGGCCCAACACATGTCCATGGCGGTGCAGGATCTCCCAGGAGGCCTCGAAATGCACACAAGAAGCCTCAAGAGACGCCCAAAGAGCGCCCAGGAAAGTTCCCAGATTGCTAAAACCATTTAACACACTTATCCAAGATATCTTACTTCCCAGTCCCTTCGGCCTTAGATGGCATCCCTTCGGCCTTAGAGGTCCGCAAGACGGCCAACTCATGCGCTTCGCGTATCCCCACCAGCCCATCCAGAAACGATGCCCAGGCGAATGGAGGTGATCAGGGAAGTGAGGGAGCATACAGAGTAACACAGGGCCGGGGAACCCGTCTTACCGAAGACGGCGAGGATGGAGGAGGAATCGGAAAAGGATGAGGAGGAGGAGGAACTGGAGGAGGAGGAGGGGGAGCGGGAGGAGGGAGGAGGGAGGAGGAGGAATAGGCGGATGAGGAGGAGGAGGAGGAGCAGGAGGAGGAGAAGGGCGAGCAAAATGGCCAAAGGCTTCATGGATGCGCCTAGGAGTCTCTTCGGATGTCTCTTGGGAGCGTCCTGAAGACCTCTTAGGGCGTCTGGGGAGCGTCTTGGCGGTCCCGGAGGCCTCTTGAAGCGTCTTGGGTGCCTCGGAGAGCCTCTTGAGGCCTCTTGGGGGTCTCTTGGGAGCCTCTTGGGGGCCTCTTGGGGGCCTCTTGGGGCCTCCTGGGCGCCTCTTGGGGCCCTCTTGGGGCGCTCTTGGGGGCCTTGGGGGCGCTCTTGGGGCCATCTTGGAGGAGATCGATCAAAGAAAGGGAGGGTCCGGATTCGCCCTGCCCCTCTAGAGCGCCTAAAATCGCCTCTTGGGCCCCTCTTGGAGCGCTCTTGGGGCCGTTTTGGGGCCATCTTGGGCCCCTCTTGGGGCCCTCTTGGGCCATCTTGGAGCCATCTTGAGGCCTCGAATGGCCATCGGAAGCGAAAATGCGAGAAAGCAAACAACAGTGATTTTCCTTAGGTTTTTGAAAGGATTTTGGCCTCTTGGAGGCCTCCTGGGAAAGCTAGTTGGCCTCTTGGAGCCGTCTTGGGGCGGTCTTCGGGCCTATTGGAGCATCTTCGGAGCCATCTTGAGGCATCTGAGGCTAGCTTGAGCAATCTTGGAGCTCATCTTGGGCTCCCCGAGGCGCTCTTGGAGCCATCTTGGGCCATCTTGGACCTCCCAGGAGTTGCATCCGAACCTTAATGCAACCTGACTGTAGCTCAGCCCAGGCCTCAAATAGACGAGCCTGGGCCACACCGCGTACGGGCCAGAGCGGGCTGGGGGCCGCGCCGATCACACCAAGACATCGCCGCACGGGCTGGGCCAGACTCGTCCCTGCGCAAGGGAGGCACGAAGAGCGAGGAGGGGGAGGAAGCACACGAAGGGCGAGGAGGAGCAGGAGGAAGAGCCATATTAAAGGGGACCAGGGACACACAAATAAATACACACAAATAAATAGATCCCGCATAGTTTCCTTCTTATTTTTTTCTTCAGATGCTGCCAGACAGCCACTGAAAGTGGTGCAAAGTGGCACAAGCCATGCACAGAAGTCTCAGAAGCCCTGGACGAGGAACAGCCACTGAAAATGGTGCGAATTGGCGCGAACTACGCACAAAAGTATCAGAGACCCTGTGCAACAGAGGGCCATTGTCAGTAGTGCGAATTGGTCGAGCCCAGCACACAAGATTTAGAACCTACGGACGTCCCACTCCCCCGTCCGTCCCACCACGGATCTTTCACTCATCCTCCCCTTCGAAGAACAAACAAACTGAATTCATATAAACTGAATTGGCGTTGGGTTCCCTTGGCGGCACCTCCAGCGCCGTCCCTGACGCGCTCCGCGCTCCAGGGTGGTCAAACGCCGGTCCAGGAAATCAGCGCGGCCGCGTAGGAGCCGCATGGCGAGAACGTCTGGCACTTCGAAAGACATATATATATATATGTATGATAAAAATATGTGCGGTTGGTTAAATCACGAGCGTGCCATCCATCACCCTTCGCTCGAACCGCCGGCGCGTCCAACTTACCCGTGGTTCATCTTCTCTTGCTCATCCAAGACTTTGAGCTGCCCCTCGACGCGATTGATCTCTTCAGTCAACACTGCGATGGCCTCCACATCGTGTCCATCCTCCGCCTTCTGGCGCTCGATGATGAGCCACGCGTTGCGTACCTTGAGCTTGCTTCGCTGCTCCTTGATCGAAATTGCCACCTGCTTGCGCGCGGTAGCCGCGGCGAGGCTGAAAAGGCCAGCGGGACCAACGGAGACGCTCGATAATGCAGACCCTTCAAGTGCCTCGGATAGCATGCTGACAGGCATCATTCCCAAGCACGTGGCCGCGTTGTCGCCGCACGAGAGGATCGTGAGAAAGTCCATGATGGCCCACACGAAATTCTTGAGCATGAGGATGACAACGAAACTGCCAAAGGTGAGGCCGTCCCACTCGAAATACAACCGCCACAGGAAGAAAGGCACCTCCAGAAAGAACAGAGACCGCACCGAGTCGATCAATGTGGCCTTCCTCTGAAACTTACCGTTGAGGCCAGCGACTCCGCACCAACCGCTGCAGCAGCCTGGCCTACACATGCGTTTCTCTGCTTCTGCGCTGGCGTCAGGATAGACACGGCTCACTGGAACGATCTCGTCATCTGAGTTGCTATCGCTCATGTCGGTGAATTGGACACTGTACGTCCCACCGTGCAACATGGTTGCCTGTCCCGGTCGGGGCGCACGCCCGCCCGCAGCGAGGAACAGGTCCTGCAGCAACTTGTCAGCGGTGACGAGCTTCTCATGCCCTTCGGGTGCGACCTTCACCAGTACGGCCTCGCCCGCTTCGACGGAGTGCTGGGCGTACGCCTCGCGCTGGATCGCGAGGCACTCCTCCACATGATCCAGCGCGCTCTGGCGCTCGAGCATCTGCAAGCTCCGGATCAAACTCTCCGCGCTGTGGGCGAAATCACGGGGCGCGTTCTCGGTTCCCGCGCCGTCGTCCTCTTCTCCAGAGTGGCTGTAGGAGGTGTACAGAGCTGGTGATAACGTGGCCAACACAAACACCACGATCCACGTGAGTCTCAGGAGATTCATGTAGTCTTCGTCTTTTTCTGCGGCTGTCCCGTCTGAGTCGATGCCGTACTTGGGGTACAGGACCCTGTCGTTGACCAAGTAGGCGTCGAAGACGACCGCATCCATAAGATCCAGCCAGCAGCCATTCAAAAACCCAGAACTCTGGGCTGAGCTTGGCACTATCGGGAGATCCTTGAGAGTCCATGATATACTCAACACCGCCAGCCATTTCAAGAGCATGAACATAGTATCGAGATCTTGTCCGAATGCGAATGGCACAGGGACTTTTAGCCTCGTCAGACTGTAAATGTCTTGAACGCAGCATTTCATCACATGTTTTCCCTTTCCCATCCAAATGTAGCCGCTGCAAACATCTGGATCGAATTCGATTTTTCACGTCACATGACGGTTGACTCTCGACACGCAATCTAAGGGAGGATATTCTTCCAGGCAGTGGGTCATTTTCAGGTTGAGGACAGCATCGTCGGCTTTCACCACGTCGATAACACCATCGGTCAAATTTGTGGCGTTGGTCGCGCGTGTGTCGGAGTATTCGGCGATCCGCTTCACCTGCACTTGAGGGTTGAACGTGACTGTGGTCAACGAATCCAAAACCAAGTAGTAGGCCCCGAAAAAGATCACCCACTGCGAAACCGAAAAAACGATGTACATCGCCGACGCGGCACCTCCCCGTGACAGTGCACCGTCCGAAACGCCGCTGCCTTCGGAACCACAAGGATATGGCGACCCATCGCCCCGCAAGACAGACCAGGAACACGATCCAGTTGAGCGCCTTGACGTTGTACTCGTCCTGCTGAACCAGGTCCAACTCCTCCAGGGTTTTGGAGCCCGCACTGGCATTCTTTGCCCTGTCCAGCTAACCTCCAATGCAAGCACACCAAGCGACCTCGACAAGGATGCCGACGGTGATCTGCATGCCGTACGGGCCGAACTTATGCCTGAACTCCTTCCAGGCGCCGGCGCTTTCGACCTCCACCGCGGAGTCGTCGTCTTCGTCGGAGCTCGCCGCTGAAACCTGCACCTGCCTCCTCTCTGGCATGGCTTGCCCGGATATCGGCCGGGAGCGCTCCTTGGGGGCGATCCTCGGGGGCTTCCCCGCTGCTCCCTGAAGCCCGCCCTTTGAGCCAAAATGGCTACGGACCATAGTTTCCTATATTTTGGGGGGTTTCCGTCTTCCCCCCCACTTCCCAGACTTTCCCATAGTTTCTTGGGGATCGACGATTCATTGTGTCTGTGTTTTTTCCCCTCCTGACATATGCGGTCAAGATGCAGCCCACATGCTGATTTCAACGCCGCCGCCCCAGGTTCCCATCTCCGCGCGGATCTCTTGGTTCGGCGCTGAGCCTCCCTCCCTTGCGCGCGGAGCGCGCCATGGGCGGCGCCAGGGGCGGCGCCGCCAAGGGGGCGCAGCGCCCATCGAAGAAATCCGCGCGGAGCTCCGAAGGTTCATGTGTTTGCCGATGACTCTTCTTCGACTGAACAGGCATCGAGCGTGAGCACCGTCTAACCGACCTCTATCCCCATGGGCGTAGCCTGGGCCTCACTAGCGGGTTTACCCCCCCTAGATGGGGACATAGACCATTCCCATCTGGTTTCGAGGGGTGTGTCCCCAACTGGGGTGCTGAGATCGTGGGGGTCTGGATGGGGATGGAGATGGGGATAGGGATGGGGATAGAGATGGGGATAGAAATGGGGATAAACCATAAGGTACCGATACCGTTACTCCCCAGACCACTCCCAGGGTGCGTTCTATCCAGGATTTCGAGGCGAATCCAGCGGTGGCGACGAGGGCCTCGCAAGAGGCCCTAAGAGGGGAAAACGGGGGAAGGGTAGCGGTATGGGTACCTCTTCTCCCTCTGAGAGGAGGTCGGTGGAACGAGGCTGAGAGCGAGGGCCTTCTCGGCGAGCGCCTTCCAGCCCTCATCCTTCCGGTGGAGCAGCAGGGCGCCGTAATCGTGCGGCAGGTGGCGCTCCTGGGCCGAGGGGTGGAACGCGGAGGCGGGGACCTCGCTACTCGATCCTCGAATCGAGGAATCCTCGATTCCTTATCCTCGGCGGCGGGCAATGATAGGCAACAAGAACACCCCTGACCCTTTCGGACAAGATCTACGTTAGAGACAGGCAGGTCGACAGGACCGCACTCCGGCCTCGGAGTGTGGTCCTCTGAGAGGGCAGGCGGCAGGGTCACGCAGGCCGACATATTGGACCAAAGTTGGGAGGGCCAGACACATTAGGGATAGGTGGTGGTCTTTGCAGACGTCTCAGACGAAGCCCTAAAAGCAGAGGACCCTCTGTCCTTTTCCAACCCCCTTTCTTCCCCTTCGGGGAGGGGTTTACCAATCCCCATACTCCCTCCCCTGGACCTGGACGGGGCGCCCCGCGACGCGTTAGAGCGTCCAAGATGTCCCAAGACGGCTCAAAGAGGGCCTCAGAGAGCCCAATATGACCTCGAACATGGTTCAAGATAGCTCAAGCTCGCTTAAGATGGCTTTCGATATGCTTTAAGAGGCCCCGCGACCGCCCCAAGACGGCTTCAAGAGGCCTCCGAGACCCCCAAGGAGGCCCTCAAAAAGCCAATGTCCCATCAACAAAACTCAGGAGCATCAGTGATTGTTGTTTTCTCGCTATGTTGCTTCCGATGCCCTCCCGAAGTCTCAAGATGGCTCAGCAAATGGCGCAAGAGGGCTCCAGAAGTGGCCCAAGAGAGCCCCAAGGCGGCCCCAAGAGCGCCTCAAGAGGGCGCCCGAAGAGGCCTCAAAGAGGCGCCCAAGAGATAGCCCAAGTGACTCCGAAAGGCGATCAAGAAGCCCCTTGCCCTTTTACTCGTTCTCCGCCTCCTTTTCCTCCTCCTCCTCCTCCTCCTCCGCATCAGACTCATCATGCTTATCCCTCCTCCCTCATTAATCCATCCATCTATCCATCCATTCACCCTCCTCAATATCCTCCTTCTCCTCCTTCGAACGGTTCGGCTGGCCCACTCTTTGCTTCTACACTTCCCTGCTCACGTCAATTCGCCTGGGCGTCGTTTCTGGATGGGCTGGTGGGGGTATTTTTTTCTGGTCGCGGCCGCGGGCGAAGGCGCACACGGCGAGTCGTGTTGGTGGGGATATTTTTTTGGGCTGGCGGCTCCCAGGCGACGGTCTAGGAGCGAAAGCTGCGTCCGGGTGGCGGAACGAAGCGAATTTGCGAGCAGGCCGCCAGTGTCGGCGGACAGGTTCGCACACGCAAGACAAACTCGCAGATGCACCTGCACAGAACAAAATGAACTGAATTCGCAAGCGAACGCGCATAGGCGCAGCGACGTGAGCCGAAGTAAACGGGCTGCCGAGAAGAATGTGCGAAGGCACGGGCGTGAATCGCCGGGGTGGCGCCAGACTCCGAGCCGACCTGCACAAACCGACCGGCTGTGCGGTGCCGCCGAGACAGTGCGCGGGGGAAGACCAAAGGCTGCACAGGCGTTGCAGGCTGGACCACACAGCGCCCACTCCTCAGAAGTCCACATCCCAGCGGGGAGCCAACGGCAGCCCAAGGCGCCCGCGTGGCCGAGACTTGGAGAGGCCTGTTGGCGTCCGAGACAGTGCGCGGGGGGGAAAACCAATGGCTGTCCAGGCGTTGTAGGCTGAACCACTCAGCGCCCGGCTCTCAGAAACTCACCAGAAGCTCGTCTCCCACTACCGAGATGCCAGCGGCCGCCCAAGGCGCAACTGTGCTGCCGGGCCCTGAAGCGAAGAGGTCCGCGAGCGCGCAACACCTCCGTCGGGTGGTGGGGGTCTGCACATTGGTGGTGGAGACGCCTGAGCTGCTTGCCAGGGGGGGTCCTGCTGAAGAGGCAGAGATGGCCAGCCACCCCAGACTGTCGCGTGGCGCTGCCCATGAGCTGAAGCGTGGTCCCACACCAGATGACTCCCCAAGCCGTGGGAACTGACGCTGATATGGTCAAGGGCCAGGAGCAGCGCGACCCACGGGGCGAGTACGGGGTGGCTGCATGGTCCCTACGTCCTTCCAGGGCGCCTCGTGGATCTGCACTCGCGCTGGGTCGCCTCTTGGGGATTTGGTGGCACGGCCATCCCCGTCCTTGTTGTCTTCCCACACGGGTCGCTGGCTGCCCTTGTCACCGCTCGCGCGGCTGAGGGCGCTGGTGGGGATGCTTTATTGGTCTGCGGCCCAAAGGGCGATTCCAGCGGGCGGGTCAATCAGGGCGTCCGGGGCACAGAGCTAGATAGATGCGAATCCAGCCGTCGCTGTCGACAGCCGGCCGCGCCTGCACATGCGCGGAAACGAACTAAATTCAAAGAGCGCATCTTGGCGTCGACAGGTGGGAACGGGCGCGGGAAGTGCGAGAAGCCGCCGAAACGGCGCCAGTTCAACGACGAAGCAAGCAAGATAATTGCCAGCGGGCAAAAAACAAACGCCGGAATGCGCATGCGAGGAACAAAGTGGTACTCATTAAGCCGCACCAAAACGGCCCCGGTGACAGCGGGGCGTCGCACAGTGGCGCCAGCACCCGTCAGACCGGACGGCGAAAGGCGGGGCACAGCGGGCAACTGCAACCCTGGCACGCCCGCCCATGAAAGTGCGGCGAAAGCGAGCAGAATGTGGGCAAGGCCTCACTCACGGAGCACCTGATGTGCTCGATGCTGGCATCGCGGCCAGGCACCAGCGGATCAGACGCCCAATCGAGTAGAGATACCAAGCGCAAAGGGGGAACGACACGTGGGCGGGTCACTATCGTCCGACCGTCGGCCGTGTACTGCCGGTGGGCGAAAGACGGGGCGCCAGACCGGCGAGCACGTACCTGTCAGACTGCGCCCCAGGTGCAGGGTGCCGGTGTGGGCCGACCTGCCAGCGCCAGGCGAGCGCACCCTATGCGTGAGGTAGCCGGAGGGCGCCTGCCTGGTGGGGGGGAAACGCCATTGGGCAAGGTCACCAGTCGTCGGAGGTGCGTCGTGTGGAGCGTATGCTGGTGGGGATACGCGAAGCGTCGAGACTTCATTGCGTTAGTAGGGTCAGGGGTTGTATGATCCTTGATGGGCCTAGTCAGCATCTTGGAGCCTCGATCCTCCTAGATCAGCGTCATTCTCCATCATCCGCGCCGTCGCCGGGCTTTTCCTCGCTCCCCGTCCCGAACCGCGAGGAGGATCGAAGAGGGACGGAAGTGGTAGAACATGGAAAAACGATCGGAAGGGGATCGAGGAGGGAGGGAACACCCCAGCGGCGCCGCCGGGCCAGCTCCAGGCCAGCTGAGGCCTCCAACGCACGCGGCGGAGGCAAAATACCATAGAATGGCTCGCGCACGCACACACGCGCATGCAGTATCTATCCTTCACATATACTTGTATATACATACATATGTCAGAAATGCGTGCGTGCCCACGCTCATACCAACTCCTGTGCAGGATGTGAGTGTGTGGCATGTGTAAGATTTGCGCGATGTGTGTTGTGAGCGTGTGTTGTGTTGTACGTGCGCCATGTGTGAGTTACGTGTGGGTCACGTGTGGTGCGTGTTGTGCGTGTGTTGTGTGTGTATGTGTGCGTGCGTTGTGTGTGTTGTTCGTGTCCGAGGTGTGTTGTGAGTTGTGTGATGTACGCATGTGTGTGGTGTATGTCTGTGTTCGTGTTTGTGTGTATGCTCTGTGTTCTACAGGTTGTCAGTGTTGTGTGCGTTTCGTGTGTGGTGTATGTGTTGCGTGGTATGTGCGTGTTCTGTGTATTCGGTATGCGTGTGTGTTGTACGCCTGGGCCCCGCTTTGGGACGATGTCTCAAGCGAACCTACCTTGTCTAAACAATCGCGCTGGAACAAGGACTTGTTTTTTGGGAGGATCTCGATGGTGAAAATGCATTGTTCGAATAATCGGGATCAACAGATTCGCGCTTCGGGACCGTGACGTTGCGATCTGCGTGACGGATATTGCATATGTTCGGGATGATGAGGATTTCCCGAACGAAATGGCCACACACATCTCGAACGGGACGGGAATCCATTGCCTCTGAGCTTTATTTCCTCGGAGGGACGCGTATAACAATAATTGTTGTGTTGGTCTCTCCCCCTCTCTCTCTCTCTCTCTCCCCCTGTTTCTCTCAATCCCTAGTGATATGTACACATATATATATATATATATATATATATATATATGTACATATACACCCACACACTAGAACCACGCGCGCGCTACGCGCGCGTTTAGGTCCCAGCTTAGTCCGGGGCAACGACCCAACAACGGACGGGGGGGTTGAAGGCTGAAAGCACTTCAGTTGTTCGTCGAGTTTCCTGGTTCGCGGTTCGAAAAGCTTTTGGGCGCTCCTCACCCCCAAGCGGCCCGAGGAGGCCGAAACCGACACATCTGCCTCGTCCTCCTCTCTCCCCCCTCCTCCTCTTCCTCCCCTCCTACTCTTCCTCCTCCCCTCAGTATCCCCTCCTGTTCCCCGTTCCTCCTCCTCCTCCTCCTCCTCCCCTCCTCCTCCTCCCGGTCTTCCTCCTCCTCCTCTGTTCCTCCTCCTCCTCCTCCTCCTCCTCCTCCTCCTCCGATTCCTCCGATTCCTCCTCCTCCCCCTCTTCCTCCTCCTCCTCCTCTGCTCCTCCTCCTCGTGCTCCTCAATCCTCCTCCTCCTCCTCCTCCTCCGCCTCCTCTGTTCCTCCTCCTCCACCTCCTCCTCCTCCTCCTCCTCCTCCTCCTTTTCTCAGCATCGCCATAATCATAATGTTCCTCCTTTTCCTCATCTTCCTTGTCCTCCTCCTCCTCCTCCTCCCCCTCTTCCTTTACTCCCCCTCCTCCTTTACTCCTCCTCCTCCTCCTCCTCCTTTCCTCCCTTCCTCCCTTCCTCCTCCTCCTCCTCCTCCTCCTCCTCCTCCCTCTCCTCTCCTCCTCCTCCTCCTCCTCCTCCTCCTCCTTCTCTCTTCTTCTTCTTTTCTTCTACTACTACTACTTACTACTACTACTACTACTACTACTACTACTACTACTACTACTACTA